AGGTTGGTATGGAGGAGGGGGGCTCTCCTCAATCCCAGTGTGACCTGGAATGTGTCACTTCTCCTTTCTGCACTCTGGGCCTCCAATGTGAATGGGGGTGTAGGGCTAAATTGACGTCTGATTCAGACCCCTGCCTGCCTGGAGCCTCTGAGTCAGCAGGGAAGATGGCGGGTCTGCCATTTTCTGTACGTGACCTTGAGGAAATGGCTTGTGCTCTCTGAGCCTGCTGAGAAAAGGGTGGGGTGAGTCTGACCCCTGCCTCCATGTTTTTTGTTTTTTTTTTAAAGCATAGTGCTTGTCAGGTAGAACAGCTGGCTGACACTTTGGTAAAATAATACAAAAAGAAAAATCATAACCGAAACATATGTATCGTGTAACAAAGTCAACATCATTCACACCTATATTAATGCATTGGGCTGCTAACAGCAAGGTCAGCAGTTTAAAACCACCAGCAGCTCCTTGGGAGAAAGATGAGGCTTTCTACTGCCCCCAATAGTTACAGTCTTGGAAACCCACAGGGCAGTTCTGCTCTGTCCTATAGGGTCACTGTGGGTCAGAATCCATGCAACTGCAGTGAGCGTGTGGTGATCAAGTTGCAGGGGAAGCCTGGTTTCACCACGGTTAGCGCCTTGCTGCTAACTGAGCGATGGGTAGGTAGTTCGAACCTGCCCGCTGCTCTGCAGGGAGAAAGAGAGGGCTGATTCTTCTGCAAAGATTTACAGGCTTGGAACCCTAGTGGGGTGGTTCTCCTCTACCCGATAGTGTTTGCTCACCTCATAGGCAACTGGGTTGTGTTTTTGTTTTTCCTGCTGGAAACATCATAAACAAAACTTGCATGAGACAAAAATTTCAAAACCTCAAGCTATTGGTCACCATGTCCTCCACCTAGCCCTCTAGTCAACCAAACTTACTGCCCCCTCGGGTTGATGCTGACTCACATCGACCCTGCAGGACAGGGGAGAGCTGCCCCCGTGATGTCCCACACTCTTTACAGGAGTAGAAAGCCCCATCTTTCCCTCCAGGAGGTGGTTTTAAATTGCTGACCTTGCAGCTAGCAACCCAGCTTGTAACCAACCGCTGCACCACCGGGGCTCCTGGTTCACCAACTTTAGTCGACTTAGGTGAAGGTTCACACGGCAGATCACAGTTTTATATTCAACGATTTATACACACTCTGATTCAACGCTCCCATCGCCATCCCGAACTGTATCATCGCTGATCCCATTTCCGCCTGGCCTTCCTGTGTCCACCCCTCCTCCTTGTCTAACCCGCTGAACTTTGTCCTTAGGTGAATGCTAGCCTTTTGATCCGAAGTGGTTGATTATTTTAACACAAGAGGTGAGTCCCCTTCCAGAACCTGAGGGGCAAAGTTCATAGTCTTGGGTAACCCTCAGTCCCTCTGACCAGTCAGCTGGTCTCCTGGGTGATTTCTGTCCCACGTTCGGGCCTCCCTGTGTTCTATCCAGGCTTTTTAATGTGATCAGGACAACAGTTTTTAGGTATTGACTCTTATAAAGGGCCAAACTGCAGTCTGGGCCCTTCCACTGTGAGTGAGGGGCTAGGGCTACATCGACCTCTGATTCAGATCCCCACTGCCTGTTCGGAGCATCTGAGTCAGCAGTGAAGATTGAGGGTCTGCCATTTCCTGGGCGTGACCTTGAGGCAATGACTTATTCTCTCTGGACTTCTGTTCTGCTTGCTGAGAAAAGGGAAGTGGGGGTGGGTGATGTTGACCATTTCTTCTTTTTAAATCCACGTGAAGACCCTGCACATGGATTTTGGCCTTGCGCGGTCACCCATAGCCTTCTGTAAATCGAGTGTTCACAGTGTAAGCTCTGATACAATTCCCTCCGTCAGATTTGGATTTTTATTCTTTACAATCCTTGGCTCGCACTGGCTGGTGCGCTTCTTCCACGTGGACCTAGTTGATGTCTCCCTTTGACCACTTCTACTAAGTCTCTCTCCCCAGAAAGAACCTCAGTTACATTTTTTTTCCAGTCTGATGTCTCGTTTCGCTCAGCTTGGCTGGCGGCTGCAACCAAACCACGGTGTCCCTGTCCTTTAACAGTTGATGTGACAGTTGAGGGCAGGCCCCACAGTGGTTTCTATGAATGGCCGTGGGCTTGGGCTGTTGGTTGAGGGCTGTTACCCAACTCTCCAGAGAAGGGAACTGAACTGACAGTTAGCTTTCAGGCCACGACCAACACACTGCTTCCAAGATTTATTTTAAGAACCAGGCTGTGAAGACATTTCTACACGTGCACTTGCCCAACTGAGCAAAAGCATGGGTGCTGCCCCCCGCTGGACCAGTGGCTGGAGGGACTGAGGGACACGGGCCGCATTCGGAAAAAGAGGTGGGAAAAGCCAGGTTGATCAGACCAGGCTTTCTTAGGGAACTTGCAGACAGTGTTAGGTTTGAGCTCCTGGCCAGGAAGGGGTGGTACACGTAGGTGGGTGGTACACCTGGATTGGCCCATCTAGGCCAGGTGTATTTGATTCAGCCAATGGGGTCGACCCTGCCTCCCAACGGGGTCGCTGAAAAGCCAGAAGTTTTCTCTCTGAGGGCTCTCTCCCAGGAGCTGCTACACTGTGCAGTGTGTTCCCGGAGTGGCCTGGCCGCAGTCCTGGAGGCCAGGTTCTGTGCTACCGTGCCGCGGACTCTGGCCTGTGTTCCATTTACTGTAAAACCTGAAAGTGCTTCTAACCTTTATAAAACTCACTTGGATCACAAACCAGGCTTCCGCGTGACTTCTTTCTTGAGTGAAGCCAAGGACCGAGGTATATCTCTCCCATGAGAGATCTAACCAGAGGTTGGCACCAAACTTCTCGCGACAGGAAGAGACGAATCTAGTGTCACTCACATCGAGTATGACAGACAATGTGGGTGGAGTGTATCTACCCAGGGTCTGAGTACAAGGCTATGTGCAGGGGTGGGGCTGAGGCAAGGAGAAGCAAGGTCTAATACGGGTTGGATTGGAACCAGTGAATGAGGTCCAACCGGCACTCTCAGGCAGGCAGGCGCGTCTTTGCGGGCAGGCCCTGTCTTGTATTGTCCCTGGTCCTCTCTATAGGCCCAGGGACATCTCCTGCGGCCTTGTCTAGAAGGTGGGGCGTGGTGGTGGTGGTGGTGGTGGTGGTGGTGGTGGTGGTAGAGGTAGGTGCTGACAAGGAAACTGTGACCTAAGACAGGAAGTTAGGTGGTTTCTAAAAAGAAAGGCCATTTCCCTCCTGGCAAGGTCTCCCCTATCTAAAAATGCAGGATGCAAATTCACAGGGCTCTCATTCTTGGCTTCCCAGCCTGGTTTGAGGAGAGCAAACATCAGAAGCAATCCAGGTAGCTCCTCACTAGGCAAGTGGCTGGGTACACGGTGGCTGGCACAGGTGAATGGCAGGGCCTCTGTGCTGTGGAGAGACCACCAGGGCCTCCCAAGGGCTGACGGGCAGGTGTTGAAGGCACGACCAGCCGATCCAGCCCAGTCTGATCTTTGTGGGGTGGGGGGTGGAAGAGTTCTCTATCTGGATTATGGTGGTGCGTCTAGGAGTAACTGCATTTCCCACCCCCACCCCCACCCCCGGGGGCTGTACGCAGCTTTAATGATATTTTGAGAGGAGCCACTCGGGCACGGTGGGTAAAGTGCGAGGCTGCTAACTGAAAGGTCAGCAGTTCGCACTCACCAGGTGCTCCGTGGGAGAAAGAGGCGGCGGTCTGCTTCTGCAGAGGACAGCCTTACGGAGGAGAGATGGTCCTGATTGAAGAACTGTGTCGTGAGCATTTCTTATCCTGAATCGTGACCTATTAACTTCCCAGATAAACTCCATCATTGTGTGTGTGTGTGTGTGTGTGGTGGTGGTGGTGGAAACTCTATAGGGCACTCTATAGACCCTTCTTATAGGGTCACGATGAGTCAGAGCCGACTCAGCGGAGGCAGTGGGCTTTTTTTTTAAAGACCGAAAGCAGGTGGAGTTTCAGAAAAGCCAGGTGCAGATCAGGGGAGAGGACAGGAGAGGGGTGGCCCTTGCAATTCCTGTCATTTGCACCAAGAAACGGGAGAAGGAAACACAGATCATGAATCAAAAGTTGTTTCCCTTTGGGAGCGGGAGAGGACAGGCATGCCCAGGGTGGGAGTGGGCCAGAGGAGGCTTTTTACTCCCCTCAGGGGTTAACTAGTCTGGGCAACCCACAGGGGCCCGTTCTACCCTGTCTGAGAGGGTCACCATGAGTTTGAGTTCTTTAGAGTTTGGGAACCTTAAGATTGTCACCCCGCCACTCCCCCCAGTTTGAAGAAGTAGCCAGGGCGCTCTGATCGGAACAGTCCTCCAGCTGCTGCGAAGGAGAAGAACAAGTTTATTGTGTTGGGTTGGTATCAAAAAGGGAGACGTGATTTTTGACCGTGGAGGGAAACACATCTGTACTGATGGCTGCCCTTGGGGAGGGTGGCCGGGTCTGGCTGGGGGGGTGGGGTGAGGGGCGGGGACAACTTGTTTTGCTTTGTATCCTTCTTCTGAGAGGCCAGCTGGCCTTGGGTGGGGCTAAGAGGAGAAGTGGTCAGTTCGTCTGGGAGGAAAGGAGAGAGGTTCAGGGCACACACTGGGTCTTGGTAACTATTCTTTTTATTGAATGGCTTCACAGGAGAAGGCTTGATTCAGGAGGAAGTGTCCCCTCTCTGTCCCCTATTTCCCGGGGCTACCTGACAGGGGCGCTCTGGGTCATGTCCATGCCCATGCCCCTTTCACGAGTGCCCCGTGGCACCCCAGTTCCTCTGCTTTGGTTCTCCTTCCTACTCTGCCCCAGCACTGTCGCTGGCCTGAGGAAAACCCTGCCCGTGGGCAGGGCCCCAGTAGGGCTCACCTACCACAGGTGGGAGGCCCCTCAGGTCTCACTCAGAGCGGGGGTCCCCCCACCCCGGGCTCAGGGCCTGGGTCGCCTGGGCAGGCTGGTCTTGAAGAGAGACTTGCCGGAGGCCTCGATGTAAGTGACCGTCATCTCTTTGGGACTGATCTCGATGTAGGCGAAGCCGCCCAGCGAGTCCTCGGCCCCGTAGTGGAAGCGCAGGTAACCATCCGGGACTTTGCGTTGGTGCCGTTTGGAGGGGTCCATGAAGTTCCCGGCCCCACTCAGCACGTAGCCCACACCCTTCTCATCCTGAAGGTACTGCGGGAGGGAGGACACGGGGCTCAGTGGAGTCTCCCCGCTCCCCACCCAGGACCATCCATCTCAGGTCTGTTCACCTCGGGCGCGGGACACAACCCTTCTAAGCCTCAGTTTCCCCAACACGATGGCTCAGGCTTTGAGTGTTTTGACAAGGAGGCGGGTAATGGAGTGGTTAAGCAATCTGCTGCTGACCACACCCACCAGCTGCTGACCACACCCACCAGCTGCTAACCACACCCACCAGCTTCTCCTAGGGAGAAAGATGTGGCTGCCTATTTCTGTAAAGATTAAACAAACAAACCCTGAGGGGTTTATCTAACTTGGATTCCATGTGTCCTAAACTCATCTGTACCTGCTCCAGCCTAGCCTGCAGTGAAAGGCAGGATTGGGGTCATGATAGCGGGGTGGGGGTGGGTGGGGGTTGAGGAAGCCTCAAGGAACCAGAGGAATATTGTGTGTTTCATCGGTGCTATACTTCCCCCTGGTTGACTCATCCCTTCTTTGCGACCCTCAGAAACAGAAGCAGGAGTAGTGATACCGGGAGGGTAGGGGGAAGATGGGGAGAGAAGGGGGTAAGAAACCATGGGGGGAGGGAGACAGCGGTTGGTGTAAGATATGAAATTAATAACAATTTACAATTTATCAAGGGGCCACAAGAGGGTGGGGAGGGAGGGTAAAAAGAGGAGCTGATACCAAGGGCTCAAATAGAATGTCAATGTCTAGAAAACAATGATGGCAACCTATGTGCAAATATGCTTGATGCAGTGGATGTATGGATTGCTATAAGAGTTGTAAAAGCCCCCAATAAAATGATCTTTTTTTGGGGTTTGTTTTCTTTTTGAAAAATCATTTTATAAAAAATAATCTTAAAACCAAACCAAACCCCAAACCCACTCCCCTGGAGTCACTTTGCACTCCCAGCAGGCCTACAGCAGAGTAGAATTATCAAGGAAGGGTTCATGAGGGAGAGGGGGGGCGGGGGAAGAGGAGCTGATACCAGGGGCGTAAGTGGAGGGCAACGAATGTACAAATGTGCTTTACACAATTGATGTATGTATGGATTGTGATAAGAGTTGTATGAGCTCCCAATAAAATAATAAAAAAATAAAAAAAAAGGAAGAAAAAACTGCCCCATCAGGTTCCCAAGGCTGTGAATCCAGATGGAAGAGGCGGACCACATCCTTTTCCCAAGGGGCAGCTGGTGGATTCAAACCACTGCCCTTTCCATTCCCAGGCGGCTACTTTCACCAGTGTGCTACAAGCATTCCGTTTCCCCACAAGTTCAGCCTTGACAACCCGAGGGGCTGGCTCTACTTGGCCCTGGAAGGTTGCTAGGCGTTGGGGTGGACTCCATGGCAGTGGGTTTTTGTGTGTGTGTTTTTTTGGGGGGGGTAGTGGCACGTTGGCCAGGATGGGTGCCCCTTCTCTGGCTCCCTGGCCCTCCCTCAGGCCCCCTTACCTGCAGGTTGTGGTCATGACCGCACAGGTAGGCGATGACCCCATATGTGGCCAGCAGGGGCTGCAGCTTCTTGACCAGGCAGCGCGTGGGTCCGTGTTCGGCTATGGACCACACCGGGTAGTGGCCAGCTACCAACACGTAGTCCTCCTGGGCGGCTGCCAGCTGTTTTTTGAGCCAAGCCAGCTGGGTGCGGGCCAGTCCCAGGTCACGGGGCCTCTCGGGCTGCTGGCTAAGGAAATCGTCCGAGTTGCCGCACAAGGCCACTGTGTCCAGCATGAAGATGGCCACGGACACGTTGGTTCGTGGGATCTTGAAGCGCAGACGGTAGAAAGGGCTGGGGAAGTTCCTGTGGTGGTGGGGTGGGGAGCAGAGGGGTGGTGGTGGCTCAGGGCACAGGCCCTCTGTGGGTCGCCCAGTGGGTGTCTGGGGGCGGGGCGAAGTGGGCGGGCTCACCAGCGCTTGGAGATCTTGGAGTAGGCAATCTGCGCAGAAACGTTACCCAGGTGGTCGTGGTTTCCGGCCAGCACGTACCAGGGCACGTTGCGAAGGGAGCGGTCCGAGAAGACATCCTCAAAAGTTTCCTGCAGAAGTCGAAAAGAGATTCCGTCTGGGAACGCCCCCAGACACCTGGCTCAAGCTGCTACCTGGTACTCCCAGGAGCTGGTGTCTGCAGGTGCCCCATCAGCTGCCCTCTGCCCTCTCCCGAGGAGGGTCCCGGGCCAGGTGGCTTCTCTCTGCTGCCCCTACCCTGGGAACCCAGTGGGCACACACCTGGAACCTCTTGTCATAGGCGTCCCGCACACCGGTGAAATAGAAGTTGTCTCCCAGGGACAGGATGAAGTCGGCGCCCAGGGTCTGCACTGTTCTGCCCATTTCCTTGGCACTGGCCATTTCCCGGGCCGTGTGGTACGGGGCATTGGGGACCCCTCCCCAGTCACCCAGGGCCACAAAGCGCAGGGTGGGGGTGGCACTGTCAGCCAAGGGGAGTGCCAACGAGGCCTGCAGGAGGAGGGTCAGCAGTGCTGTCCATGTGTCCATCTGGGAGGGCAGAGATGTATGTCTGGGGGTCCAAGGCTACAGCTCAGGCAGCCAGCCCTCCTCCAGAACCCCCTCCAGACCCCCCTCTGAGAGAGGAGAGAGGTGGGGTGGGTGCCCAGCGAGAGCACCTTGTGCCCTGGTTCCAGGACAAGAGCTGGCCCAGCGGGTCCGGGGCAGGCAGGGTCCAATGAGGGGCCTGGAAGGCGAGCCGCTGCAGACCTACTGGGCCCTCCCTTATCCCAGCAGCACCCACCCAGCTCTGGTTGTGGCCTCCTGCCCAGCACTCACCCTAGGGGAGGCACAAGCCAGTTAATCGGGTCTCCGGGGTGCTCCGGGGTGCTCCGGGGTGCTCCGAGAGGCAGTGGGCTCCAGGGCAGAGTGGCAGGCAGGACCCTTTATTCCCTGGGGCGGAAGTGACTCCTAGTGAGCATGAGGCAGTTTCTCCGATGAGTGTCCCAGAAACCCTCCCCTTGGGTCCCGTGAGCCTCAGACTTCCCCAGTGGGGCACGTGGGATTTGGGGTGGGGTGGGGGTGGGGGTCACCTGGGCACTTGTGTGTAGTTGCGCCTGCCCGAGGTGTCTTAGGTGCAGTTGGCACAGGCTGTCTGCCCCCACGAGTGTGTTTGTGTCTAGGGCCCACGGTGCCTGGTGCATCTTTCTGGTGGATGGGGCCTTGGCTGCTGTGTCCTGACTTCAGGGTTGCCTGTGCCCCAGTGTCCCTGAGTGCCCCCGAGGCCAGTGGTGTGTCTTGTGTCCAAGTCCCCGTGTCTGGCCCTGTGCTGTTTGTACAGCGTCTCCAGTGTGAGTTGTGTGTGTCTGGGGTGTGATGCGTGTGTCTCCCAAACACACACAAATCATAACGCTGCCTGCCCTGTCTGGCCAGGGAAGTTCCCACCCTCCTCCCCCACATTCCCGAAGGAGGAACCGAGCAGGAGGCAGCTGACGAGCCATGTGACCGCAACCTTTGCCCCTCTGCCCTCCCCGTGTGACCGCAGCCTCCTGAGGCCAGGAGG